CCAACGCTCAACAATCAAGGTAACGGTGAGACTGATGTACAATCAGTTACAGCTACCATCAAAATTGGAACTCTCCACTTGCTGCTGAAGCTGGTGACGGGACGCTTGTTGGAGTGTACCGAGTGCTGTGATGTCGATTCTTAATTCAACATTCAGCCGAAACGTCATAACTCAGGTAGTGGAGCTGCGAGACCAAAAGTGTTGGGGACCGACTTCTTGCGTTTCTCAGGTGGCTTAGGTGATGATGATGATTGGGGGGGGGGGGGGGGTTCAGCTTCGCTATTTATCCATCTCTTTCTTGGTCTTCTCCTTCTTTCCAAATGTTATGCTGTTAAAAAAAGTGTAACCAAAATCTCGTATGCAGCTTAGTGTGGTTGCATTCTCACTAGATGGCCGAACATTTAATTCTGTGCCTGTCAATATAATTCGTACATGGTCTTATTCCAACTTTCTCTCTAATGTTGATATTTTTAGGCGCGTCCTTTCTTGTGTTGTTAGTGACCTTACAGAGACCGTGCATCTCACAGGTAGTCATTTTCTGTTCTAGTGCCCAATGCATATGATGACAGGAATAAAACAAACCTATTATTCATAAAACAAATAACTAATCTTGAAATGAAACAAAAGATAATGTTGTATTAAAAAACTTTTATTGACATTCGAAGCAACACTCATTTGATAAAATTGAATATAACTCATTAGGAAATGTTGAAGTGAAATTATGGAACGTATTACTGTAAAACCTTTTTTTAATGGATATGTCTGTAAGGTGTTCGGGGAACAGGGGGAGGCATAGTTGTTTAGGTCGCCTTCCCTATACAAACATTTACTCACCGCGAAGATGTTGATTTTGAGAAGAATGCAAAGAATAGCATGGAAGAATATAAAAAATAGATGAGATAGTCCTCCACAAGAGGCAGGTGAAAATGAGAAAATAATGAGAAGGAATAGACAGCTTGGTGACAACTGGCAAATCTGATGGAAACAAGTGCAAGGGGAAGGCAAAAGGATTATTACATTAAAAAAAAAAATAAGTTTTGCAATATCGATGGGGCAAAACAAGGGCACTATTCTGATTCAGTGAGATGGTGAAACATGGTCATCTGAAACCTATCTGCAGGGCACATTTTGATGATAATTGCTCTGGGGATGGAACCTGCCTCATTCAAATGTGGCACCAGACCATTTTAAGAAGCTTCTGGCCAATATACAACAATTTTCTACCTAAGAACAGGACACTGCAGGATGAAATAACACACACTTAAAATAAAGATTACAGTCCCCAATGTATGTATGCAGACGGGATCACAAACACCTCAGCACATTCTGCAGACCAGCACACACACACACACCTACAAAGAGAAACTTGGCTTTAAGAACAAAGTGATCAGAGCAAGCTATGAGGAACCATGGAGGACCTGCAACTGACATGCCAGTTTGACAGTCTGATTTGAGCATATGAAACTGAATGCCAAGAAGTTTCTGGGTTTGTTTGGGAATGACAGGTGGTGGGTGAAGAAATGGACCACCCCACTCTTTTACAGTCATTACCTACAATGTGAATGACAAATACAAACATGGTAATACATTGTTAATCTATGATGAAAATAATACTCTCTACACAAACTATGCCATGTCAATAATGAAAGACTTCATGTACATATAAAACACTGGCCAGAACTACTATGGACATGGCAAGTCAGCAGCTCTGGTTGCCATTTAAGTTCTTGGAATTTGAAAAAAAAGTATCTGAAGTTTGCACAAACTACACTTAGCTTATGTGACATGCAATTTCAGGTCATATTTATAACATATGTGAACATGCATTTAGACGTACAAAGAGCATTTTTTTTCTCCCCAGAGAAATAGATGCAGAGTAAGTGAAATACTGAAGATGGCACATAAAATTCTTGAATAATGCCATTTCAGGTCGAATGTGCAAACTGATATGAACATTTAGACATACAAAAAGAAGTTTTACACCACAGTTAGTACATAAGTCTGTACTAGTTGATCTTAACTAGAATTTGTAGCCTAAAAGATGTGTACATGTCAGTATTTCAAATAATACTGATACTTATTGCATAAATATTTTAAAGGAATGATTATATAAACAAACAAAGCAAATACACATTTGGAAAATTTAATGAATACTTTATATCCCAGTTATAAATGTAATAGTTGAACAGGATATTTTATATCTGAAAATTACTACTATAGTGTAGACTGCTTAAGGCAGTCGTAGATGTGGTGAATTTCTGTTGTTAAGAACAAATTTTTTTTTATCCCCAGCAATTTTTCTTGCTTGAATTTCTGATAAAAAGAATAATTTCTCGGGTAGGTCCGCGGAGAGTTCTCCTAATCAGGTATGGACTGTACCTGCTACTACTGATGCCATTTCAGGTCATACATGTAACATACGTAAACATTAAGACATATAAAGAGTAATCTTGCAGAGGAAATGTAGACAGAATAAATGTTTGTATTAATAAGTAAAGGACTTTTTTCATGCCGGTTGAGTCTCAGACATATGATGCTAGATTCATATTTTTTATAGATCAATCAGCAGTTGACAGTTGATGTGGTCAGCATTATGTCAGCTGCCTTTACTTCCCAGAACTTTACCTGGTACCTATTTTAGGCTGGGTCAATCTGGGAGCCAAGGTAATTTTTTAAAGAAAAAATCTCACACAAATACAGAATCGAACTCAAGATATTTGGGCCGGCTGGTAATCCACTACATCTCCTCTGTGGGTTTTAGGGCCTCAATATGGAGGGGAAAAGAACACACTTGCTGACCCCCAAACCCCTCTTGAAACAAGCACTTCGTAAAAGTTGACTAAATGTTTTCCTTCGAAGTCCAAATGCATCTGCCCAAGAGGTGAGGAACCAACAGTCTGCTTAGAAATAAGCCAGATCTGTAATACGGATGTGCACACAAACCCAAGTTTTGGAACAAGACTAATGTCTAGAAGTGGAAAAAATAACCAGAACTTTCTGCCAGCCAGTGAACATTGAAGAAGAAGATTCTAGAAACATAATCAATGCAGCAACCACATAATCTTTCAGATCTTCATTATTTTACATATTTATATCACATTTGTTACTTTCATAGATTAAAGAAAAAAAGTACACAAGAAAGCTATAAGTACTATCACTAATATTAATTCACTAAAAAAATTAAACCTATGGAATTTATACATACAGTCTGTGGAATTTATACTATTTAAAAGGAATGTTAACAAGCTTGTATGTTGACAAGAAAGGAACCTGTCCTTCAATTATTATCTACCCTGAACTAAAATATGCAAAACTAGCATTTTACACACAGATACCAGTATCTACTATGAGATCACTGTATTTAAATGACGTATAGTTCTAAAATAAAAAGTATCTGATACTTTCTGTTTAGAAAAATCCTTGTGTAGGTTCAGGGGAAGACAAGAACAGACCTCTTGCCTGCCCAAAAGCACGTCGTAAGAGCAACTGAATGGGAGCTTCCTTCAAAGTTTGAGTACATCTGCCTGAGAGTCAAGGAACCAACAGTCTGCTTACATATGAGTCAACTTGTGAAACAGATGTGCACCTAACACTCAGTTTCTGGAACAGGACTAGAGTCCAGAAGTGGACAAACAACCAGAACTTTCTGACGGAGTTTAAAGCTGGTGAACGTGAAGAAGAAAAGTTTAGAAAAATAGAGGAAGACGGGAATATTACAGAAAGCATAGTTATGCTTTTGTAAATATATATTTGTTGTATTATAACATTTGACCCATTAGGGTCGTGGAGGTGTATTGATGAAAGCATTAGCACATAAAAACCGTCATCTTTCTCTGTCTCTCGCTTGATGAATAAGTGTATGATAACTTAGACCTGTCCATTTCTTGAACAGTCTATGCAATCGAATCATGTCTCACCACTTGCCCAAACCAAGCAACCTTGCAACATTTCACCACTGCCAAGAGAGGCTCCTGATGTCCCGCCGATTTTTATATTTTGTATTATACTGCTAAGTAACTGAAGTGTCTGACAATCCCTGCATTATATATACAATAATTTTGTTATTGTACATTATGGTGTTTAATACTGTTATCATTTTACATATGTCATAAGTTCATATAAAGCATTCAGAACCATCTCTCTCTTATTCTCTTTCTCTATCTCTTACATAAATACATGCACACATAAACAATTATTCACCCATTTTAATTTGTAAAAAATATTCACAACTGATTACCTCAATGCACTGCACATACACACTTACAAATCCACAACATATTTACATAATATAATTTCACAGGGAATACTAAACTTCAATACCCTCTTTTCTAAAGATATACCTAATGCCCTCATTAACATCGGGAACAAATTTATATGGCGTTGTAAGTTCTGGCTCATGAGCCACATCTCGGTGACCATGGTAAATTTCTGTTTTTGTGGTCTCAGAACAAGATGCCGTTGTTGTTTCTTCGGGTGTGTACTTGTAGACTCCAGTTCCCACCAGTATGCTCAAACATTCTTCTGCAGTCTGCTCGCTCATCGCTTCACTGTCTGGGATCAGTCGGGAAGCAGGAAGATCAACTGTGTTGGAGTTGGAATCTTTTCCTTTGATGTAGCGATCGTACAAGTTTGCTCCTACGATGTCAACATGTGGGTTGTCCCTGTTGAAGAAATATATGTAACTGATATAAGTAAACTAAATTTAAACAAGCAAATGATGGATGAGTTCATCTTGGAATTAGTCATTGTTAGGAGTTCATCCAGAGAAAAATCGGGAGGATGGATAGATAAACAGGTAGATAGGCAGACGTATCCAAGAGGGAGAGAGAAAAACTCATGTATTTAGAGTCAAATCTTGTCAGGTTATTTAACTAAAAGATTAGTTACCAGAGGATGTAACGTATTGTATTGTGCCTATATAAAGCATTGCTGCAATATTTGCACAATTTATTCAACACAGTTAACTTTTTGAAGCGTTAGTTACCAGGGTTAGAGTCAAAAGATCAGAGTAGAGCTTTAAAAATATATCATCATCATTATCATCAATTTCCACTGTTTCCGATCAGCACTGTTGGAGTTCCAGTCGACCAAGAGATTAAGAAAGGGTGTCGCTGGATATGACGTGTTGAGAAAACCTGGGAATAATATAACTAAAATGTCTTTGCAGTGGAACCCACAGGAGCATATAAATAACGGAAGACCTAATAAACACATGGAGAAGGGAGCTAGAGAGTGGAGTTATAAAGATGCGGAAAGCTGCCTGTGATAGCAAAGAATGGAACGAGTTGGTTGGGGGCTTACGCTCCAGTCGGAGTTAGAAAGGCAGAAAAAGAAAAACTGGGGGAAGAAAGTTTATGATCTATTGCTCAATGGGTAACAATAAATATATATATATATCTACATCTGTGACAACCTATTCTATGAGAAAACTTGATTTAACATTTTGACATATATCTCCGACTACCCATTCAGTCAAAAAGATTGACACTTACCCAAAAAAGTAAAGTCGTTTGATAGGTTTATTCATGCCCATTTGTTTTGCAATCTTTGAGACGATGTGTTCTGCATATCTGTAGGTGATTTCACATGGCTTGCCAACAAGATTCGTGTAAACCATGTCCTTTCCTGTCAGTTTCTGCATTTTAACAAAATCAATACATTACAACTATGAAATGTTTCACCTTTTGAATTGTAACTTAGATGAACTACTTAGTGTTCGTGCTAACTATGTTATTACTTCTACATTCGCTTTAAAAGAGTAACTGGGATGTTATGATTTATAGCAAGGCTTCAATATCTGTGTCTTTTGGTAGAGCAAATCTGATTTATAGCAAGGCTTCAATATCTGTGTCTTTTGGTAGAGCAGATCTGATTTATAGCAACGCTTCAATATCTGTGTCTTTTGGTAGAGCAGATCTGATTTAAAGCAAGGCTTCAATATCTGTGTCTTTTGACAGAGCAGATCTGATTTATAGCAAGGCTTCAATATCTGTGTCTTTTGGCAGAGCAGATCTGATTTATAGCAAGGCTTCAATATCTGTATCTTTTGGCAGAGCAGATCTGATTTATAGCAAGGCTTCAATATCTGTGTCTTTTGGCAGAGCAGATCTGATTTTAGCAAACCTCTAATAGATCTTTTTTTTTATGATATAGGAAAGGGCCTGTACTGAGCTTATAAGTCACATGTGAACTCACAAAACCACTGTAGTTTCATGATGTATGAAAGAAAGTAGTAGTACATTTTACCCCACTAGGACATCACACAAGCGATAAACACCCGATGACACAAAGTGCCACCATGTGAATGAGGATCATCCGTGGAAACTGTGTTCAGCCATTAGATGACACTTAAGGCCGGGCTATATTTCGGCCCCTGGCAAGAGCCAGGGTGAGGCTTAAAAATAACAACAAATTGCATTTCACAAGGAGATGACTAGATTACACAGGAAAGAAACGACTGACTGACTGACTTTCTACCCCACCAGGACATCACACAAGCGATAAAACACCCGATGACACAATGTGCCACCATGTGGGTGAGGTCCCAGAAACCGCGTTCAGTCTTTAGGCCATATTTATGGCCAGGCTATATTGCAGCCCCTGGCAAGAGCCAAAGTAGGGCTTCAAATAACGAAAAATGCCATCCTAAAAAGGACGGGAAATCTTATTCTGCGCAGAAAAGAAAGAGTGGTCCTCTTCATTTGTGATGGACAAACAACACACACATTCTGGTGCCAAATCTCACCTTGTACAGTGCTTCCAGGCAAAGCAGAAAAGCTCCATGACCAAATCGGGGCATGCATGCCTCTGCCATGAAAACCAGGTCCATGTTGCAAGCAATGACTGGAATTTGGGGCACATTGTGTGGGTCAGTAGGTGCATGTGTGGGTTTGCCTTCGGTCAGAAGCAGATCTATAAGCAGCTGAAGGTTGGTCTCCCATCTGCAGGGCTCCCCAAGCAGAAGAATCACTGAAAAAAAAAACTGTTGACATTAGCACACAGTTTGAAATCAATTGGCTAGAGGGTTAGCATATCAATGAAAATCTGGCCTACCTTCACCATGTTTATCCTTCTTCTGTATTCACCTTTAAAGGTGGTTGGGACATTATGTTAGCATTTACAGCTAGGCTGTGATATCTACACCTTTTGCCCAACACATTTGATTTCAACACACCCCAATTTAGTCACCTTTTATGATACATATAACGCCCTGCGCCCCCCCCCCCTCCCCCACACTGGAATCCTGGAATATGGAGATTCCAACTGTTCGGAAATATAGATTGTACCACTATTTTAATTCTACTCAGAACTGTACTTAAAGACAGAAATGTAAAATCATACAACTATTGAATTCTACCTAAAATAAAATAAATGTACACTGTAAAGCTTCAGCTGCTTTTTCTTCTGCATTCTATTCTCAAGTGGAGCATAGGCCCTCAACCAACTCACGCCAAGTTGTTGTATCCTTCACTATTGCATGCAGCTCTCCCCTTGTCCTCCCCTTTCAAATTCACTCTCTAGCTAACTTTTCCATATGTTTTTGGTCTTCCTTTATTTCCATGTCCCTGTGGGTTCCAGTACAGAGACATTCTAGTTATTCTTTTTTCTCTTCAACTGCTAAAACAGTATGAATGTACAGTATTTGGCTTTTTAATTTGACTCAAAACAGTACAGCTTTCATTCTTGAAAAATAGATATGTACGTCATACAGCTATTTAATTCTGCATAAAACAATATATATATATATATATATACATATATATACATATTTGGCCCCAAAACATTTATACACAGTAATAATCCAGAGTGAAATGCATAAACATTTTCCTGAAGGCACCATGTTTAGTTTGAATTATGTGTTGGTGCTATTATGGTTATGAAAAGTGTCTGGAGGCTAATGGGAATCACTCTAAGCACCTGTAGTACTTTATACATCACACATAACTTGTATGCATCTCTTCATGTTTAAATAAATTTAGTATCAAAATATTTATTCAGGCTCTTATTTCAAAAACTCTACACAACACATTGCTACTGTAATATATTCAAAAACCGCAAATATCATACTTAAAGATACATTTCACTGCCAGGCAATTACTGTGTATATTTTTTGGGTGCTCTCTATATGTAGGCCTATGTGTGTGTTTGCATGTGTGTGTTATACAACTATTTAGTTCTACATACAACAGTGCCAAAGTACATCATGCAACAATGTTCTACCTAGATCAAAGTACCATAATACACACCTTCAACTTTGGGAAAGTTTGGATTTTCTGTAAAACCATTCTTGGCCTGTAAATTGAAAAAAATGCAGCAACATTTAGTACGTTGATGTGAGCTTAATTTTCAAAATAAAATATAGCTATAAAAAAAAGGACACATGAACACAAATAACTTTTAAAAGTTATGTTTAAATTTACAACAGTTAAGTTAGGGGCCTTAGTGGCCAAGCCATCTCGCTCACTTTAAATATCGTGGGTTAATTTCAAGGTTGTATCGTTCGGTTAACACGTGCAATTTTCACAGAGACCCATGGGGATTGTCACCAGAGCTACGGTGTTCATGTTTTATGTGATGCTCTCAGCACATGGCTAGCCATTCTGTAGAAAAAGACTGAGCCAGGTGAGATAAAATCCGACGCAATGAAGTCGATCCTCTCAACTTTAACCTTCTATAACGGTCAAGAAACTGCTAATTAATATTAATTCTTTAAGAAAACGACAATGAAAATCTGTTAACCAAACTTAGTTTAAAACTCAACGCACTTTGAGAATTAACCTTTACTGAAATATGATATGCATACATTAGATCAAAAACAGATAAACAAAAGAGATGAATAGGAGTAGACCCTGAGGCAGATCAAGAAGATCGTGGACAGAAAATATATGGGCAGAGCTACACACATGGCAGTCACCAACTGGAAAGAGAAAGCCAGTCTGAGAGATAAATGGAAGTTGGAGATATCTGCAGCAGTGATCTTCAAGAACTCAGAATGCTGAAGAAGAAGAAGAAGCAGAAGAAGAAGAAGAAGAAAGGTTAAATAAAATGTTCTCACCACATTAACTCTGTTTTCATGATCAACCATGTCCAGCAGAGGGTATGCTTCTTTGACATCCTCAATTGTGCACATATTTGTAAAGCCAAGACTAATATTTAGTTAAGGATAAAAATCAGTACATACAGCCAAGTATTTCTTTTATAAGCTGTAAACAAATGACAACAACACCCCTTGTGGGTTCAAGTCAAATTCCGAGCACAAAAATAATAATAACCTCATTGACACTTAAGTTTTTGAGTCCCAGGGGGTTTAACATCAGAGGCTTAAGGGGTGGTCAAGATATACGTAGAAGTAGTGCATCATGCCTCTACTGGGCTTCTAGGTAGGAACCTATGAACGTTCCTTGGGACTCAAAGAGTTAACAAGCATATTGTAAAAGATGACCACTTAACTCTTTCAGTACTAGACCATTTTATTATAGATGCCAGTGGGTTTTGTAACCACTATGAAAAAGCATGGGTCTATAACTTCCAAAGATGCAGCACATACAGTACTACATGTTACAATATCTAGGCCAGGTTTCTCTAGTATGCTTAGTCCAAATGTAAATAAAAGAATAACACACAATGCATCTATTGTGAAGATTACCTGTGTGGATTCTGGGGGGAAAAGATACACCCCACAGTGGGTACCAGCCGATGTTCTGGGATGTAAGGGGATCACCACATCACCACTCAAAATTGTCTTCACAAATACAAGTCTGGTGCGCCACTGTGTGAATGGGGTCCTTTATATTAAGACAACTCTTTGCTAATAAAAAAAAAATATATATATATATATATAATCCAGGAGAAAAAAGGATACTCGTTAGCAATCTCCAGCCGATGCTCCTGACCAATGACCAGTGTATGCTTGCTGTGGAGCTCAGTCAGAAGCTTAGCTGGTGTTGGTGCATGGATAACTTGTTCAGGAGAAACCTGTGGACAAGCAACATAACACTCGTAAAACAAACAGATTAGTCTTTCTTTTTTTATTTTGACCAATATCTACTTTGAGCAGCAAGGTGTCATAGTTTAACAGAAGACAGGCAGCCAAGTTAGGCCATATTCAGTTGCTTGTGATGTGAAATCTCAGGCTGTTGGTGACTTCATTAATCCATCTTCTTCTAGGACTGCTTCTGCTAGCATCAGTGAATTCATTCTCACTAGGTTGTTTAATCTTTTGGTCTTTGTTTATTAATTAATTTAATAATGTGTATAATATTTTAAAGAAAGTTATTTTTTTTTAAAATTATTACCCAACTTTTTAAACCTCCTAATAGTCATTTCTTTGCACTCTTGCTCAGCTACGTGATTACTCTTTTTCTTGCTTTTCATCTTCCAGTTGAGCAATGAACCTGAGTGAACACACTCCTGGGGTAATAAACCCATAACAAGCATGTCGTAAAAGTAATCTAATTAGGTGTGTTTCCTTTAAAGTTAGAGTGCTGACATGCTTGTAATCAACAGTCTGCTTACAAACAAGCAAGATCTGTAAAACAGATATGCATGCAAACCTCAATTTCTGGAACAAGTGGACAAAAACTCCAGAAGTTTCCACTGGAATCTACAACCAGTGAACGTGAAGAAGGAGAAGAAAAAGATTTATTTCTTGACAATTATATAATGAGGGATGCAGCAACAGCCACAGCTGTACTTACATCAATGTTGAACCAGTTGCTAATTTGCCGAGCCTTATCAGCACTTCTGTTACAGGCATTTGTCACAAATGCCACAGGGACTTTCAGTTTTCCATCGGAATCTTTGAGTTTATTGAAGGCCTTCTTTGCAGGCTCCAGCGGTGTACTTCCTCTTGCAAGGACACCATCCACATCAAACAGAACACCAAAGTTCATCTGAAAACAATATTATAAATTATTTTATCTGGAAGAAATTTACAAGGTACGTGTTCTACAGATAATGTTATATTACTTGGAAGAAATTAACCAGGTAAGTTTTTTGCAGAAAACATTGCCAGATTTAAAAATACATAAAATTCCTTTCAGAGCTCATTCCTTATTTTATATGTTTTCCTCAACATTCCTCGTAACTTCACATTAACCAACAGTATCCCAACTATTCCCTAATTACGGCTATTTCAATGTTATTTTAACTGCTTCTGACTAAGATGTCATAGGAAGTGACAAATTAAGTCAAAGTAGGTATACATCTATCTGAGAGTTGAGGAACCAACAGTTTGCATGTTCAAATGTAGATCTTTAAAATAGATGTGCTTATAATACTCAAGTATTGGAAGAAGACTAAAGTTCAGAACTGGGCAAACAACCAGAGCTTTCCACCAGTCTACAGCTAATGAATGCTAGGAAGAGGAAAAATATTCCAATTTATCAGTTAACTATAGCAATTGATTAGGACAGAAAGAGCTAGTTTCCTTCCAGGTTAACACTGAAAGAGTTACATCTGTTTTATTAAAACATTTATCAGCTCATGCATATTAACAACAAAATTACATTTTGCGACTAACGACTAACTACTTGAGTTAAATAAGGGAAATAACTATTTATGAATTGAGGCTAACAATACAATGAGTTACATCCCATGAGCAACATACATTTTCACAGGCTGGTGTTTAAGGGGGAAAATGTGAACACTGGTACATACACAAAATCATAGGCGGCCGAGTGGGTAACTTGCAAAACTGGCTATCATAGGATTTGAATCTCCAGTAGGCGTGGATTTATAAATATACTGGCTTAGGTTTCCTACAGTTCGATTAGTCAATATAAATAATATAAAAAAAAAATAAAAAAACCTGGGTGCTCACACACAGTGACCAGTGAGAGAGGTCATTAGATTTTTCTACATGTCCATACCCTTGCTAATAAGCATGTCCAATAAGACAACCAGTTAGGGGTTTTCTGAAATTAATCAGCTAGGTTGAAATGCACATAAATCGCAGCTTAGGTGTAAACACCTACTTAATGTGCCAAATTCTCTTCTATGGGCAAACAGAGAAAAGAAAAAGAGTTTCACAATCAAAGAAGTATCTGTAAATACTTACATCAGTGTTATCAGGGTCCGAACCCATAGAAATATCAGAATTATCTGGGGGAGAAATAGACAAAAAGTATAAGCATTAAACAAAAATATTTAGTGAAAACATTTTATGATTTAAATTTTATTTTTAATTGAATTGTCCTAAAATGAGTTAATGACATGGAAGGATTACGAATCTCAACTGTAAGAATCAAAGATGAGACAAAACAAAAGTGTTGCCTTACCAGATGAATAGTCATCTGATTCTTCCTGTCCCTGGATTAGTTGACGCATGTTGGACCAGAGTTTAAACAATCAAATACTTCAGGAAAATGGCCTTCTTTGTACGCAGTTTTATAATATTTATATCGCAAATACAATTTTATTAACTGATTGAGTTGACAAAATCTAGCTGCCAATTCAACTGTGAATGTCTCTTAACTGACTGTAGTTGACAGTCGAATTATTATAGAAGCGCGTGTTTGTCAAGTTTCGCTAATGCGTAACTGAAACTGTCTTCTTAATATGCACAGCGTTATGTGGTAAAACTTTTTTTTTATTAAGTAACTTAGTTTACAAAGACAAAAACGGTTTTTTATTAATGTCTCTTCACTGACTGTACTAAAAATGAAGAAAAGCGCGGGTTTGTTGACTGTCCACAACTAACACCCGGCATTATATACCCGGTCTTCATGTGTTGTTTACTATTTGCTCATTTGCATAGCAGCGATTTTATTGGCTGTTTACGATGTCAAGGGGCAAATGACATGCGCAGTGACGAACCGGTCGGCGAAAGGGGAAACTCGGTTAACGGTTACCCTCGCTCGCCACTCTCGGTTAAATTTTGCTACACTTTACTTTTTCTTCTCGGGGTTAACTAGATCTACTTAGAAATCGGTGAAGGTTGGCTCCTAATTTAATCTGCACAGTATATCTGTACACATTTGTTTGCTAAAGTCATGCCAAGAGACCCACATGCACCGGTATTACGCTGAATAATCACAGGAAGGACCTGGGCGGGGCAAAGATCAGCTGGCGGAGACCGTCAGCTGATAACGTAAACAAAGAGAACAAGATCACAAAGCAGGGGTCTTGTCAGCTGCGGCGGGTTAAAACGATCTGGGTCACGTTTTTTTTAGTTATTTGGTAGAACTTTACAAGTTTCATAATTGAAGGCCATATACATAATGTTGTACGCTTTTAAAAAAAATGTCTTTGGCATTGCAAACTGTATAAGGCTAAAGGGTATTAAAAGCTGTTGTCTAATTCTTGTTTAGTGCACTGAACGCTAGGTACAGGCTGTGGTTGAGAGAGGGAGTGATAGAGAGAGAGGGAGAGAGAGAGAGTGAGTGAGAGTAAGTGATACAGAGAGAGAGTGATTGATAGAGAAAGTGAGTGAGAGTGTGTGAGAAAGAGAGAGGGAGTGAGAGAGTGAGTGATAAAGAGAGAGTGTGTGTGTGTGTGTGAGAAAGAGTGAGAGAGTGAGTGATAGAGAGAGAGTGTGTGTGAGAGAAAGAGTGAGAGAGAGAGAGAGTGTGTGTCTGTGAGAAAGAGAGAGTGAGTGATAGAGAGAGAGAGAGAGAGTGTGTGTGTGAAAAAGAGAGAGGGAGTGAGATAGTGAGTGATAGAGAGAGAGAGAGAGAGAGAGAGAGAGAGAGAGAGAGAGTTTGTGTCTGTGAGAAAGAGGGAGGGAAGTATGCAAAGACAAAAGCGTAACATGTGGCAGACAACACCCAGAAGTACACTGAAAAACAAAAATCCCATAGGAGTGCATTGTGAGGTGTACGACGACGGGACATTTATACACAACCTGTCACTGGGCCCCTATTACATCGCTAGAATCTCGAGTATTTTAGTGATACCTCACACACTGAAGTACACTAAAAAAAAAAACCCATAGTTAGTTAGTTATTGTGAGGTGTGCCAAAGATGGCGCACAGAGGACATTTATACACAACCTGCCACTTGGGCCCCTGATGCCCTCGCTAGAGCTCTCCCGTTCTAGTTTCTTTTAGTCTTACCTGTTTTCTTTTATCCACTGGTGAAGTGAAGGCTTTAAGTCTCTGTATGTCCATTCTGAGGTGACCGATGCACAACAGCGCGATAAACACTCCGTGACACAAAATGCCACCGTTCGGATGAGAATCACCCAGGCAAAAGTCCAAGAAACCCCGTTCACCTGTTGGGTTATATTAGGCCCCCTTACGACTACCCCCCCCCCCATGTTTTACCTCACACAGGGTGCTGCGTGGTCTCGATGCATGATATCCGCCTCGAGTACTAGAGGTCCCGGGTTCAAGCCCCGGTGAGAGCTGGGATTTATTTACGTGATCTTCAAGTAATTTCCCCCTGGTCTCTGGGTAGTGAGACCGGACGCCCGTATGTATTGTTGCGCACGTAAAAATTCCTTGGCAGTTGGAAATCGAAAAGAATAGCCTAACGGCGCTGCCCGGGCAAATTTGGAGTTCAAAATCTACCCAAAAGTATTTCAGGATCTTCACCGGTGCATCAGAGTTCGTGCACTGCGCTGAGATTCTTCAGACTCAGGCTTGAGTTAGAAGAAGAACGGAGCATTTATGGGTTACACCAGTGTGTCATGATGTTGATCCAAGGATGAGATGAAAATAGCCAATAATGTTAAATACTATCAGATTAGCATAAAGTCCCTGTGCTACTGGGGCCTCCGAGCAAGTGTCCCAGTAGGCCCATGCGTTCGGACGGCCCTGACCACAACTTCCTAAGCCCAAGACATCCGACTAATATTTTGAGCTGAAATGTGTACATCTGAAACAAGTCAGTTTGAGCGTACCCTTGGGACCACGTGATACGCATAAAAACGCGTCTGTCCTGGTGGAAAACAGGGCGTATGGTCACCCTAGGGATTTTATGACAATCGATGCCACTGCAGATTGGGTATTTCCATGTACGCTCAATCCTCCTATGCAGCAGTTACTTTAATGTACCTATAAAGACTGTTCCCAAGAGGAGCTAATGTCTCCTATCTCGGCTTCGAAGGCGGCACTGACCGTGCTTTACTCCCGGGTCACGCAATTATGTTAGTGTCAGAGATTCGATGTTGACAACTAGCCTCAGTCCTGTACAGCACTGATCTGTAAATGCTGCATCTTTATGCAATGGTGCATTACCGGCCATTTGTCGGCTCGCTTGTTACCTCTTACACCTGCATAACTAGGTGTATAGATCCAGGCTGGGTAAGGAGATTTAATGTAACAGCCGGGTGGGACGACAGGGGTTAAGAAAATTAAATCATGCATGAAGATGCTAACGCACGTGCAACGAAACAAACGACACACAAAATATTCATACGGTTGCGTGAAGAAAAACAGACTAAAATACAATTATGGACTTCGTGACTTTAAAACAATGCGAGCTGTAAGCACGTAAATACTCATATATGAAGGGAACATACACACATACACTCCCTTACACATTTAAACACGACGCAGCTACTTAACCTGCATTTGAAAAGTTTAGCCGACTGGTTTAAAAAAAAAAAATCGGACAATCATTCGTTGATCATGCATGGCTGTCGTGTTAACACTGGCAATGACACACTGCAGAGCCAATAACAATCACAAGTGTAGCTTGACAACAGCAAAAATCAACATGCGCGCATGCAGCGCTGAACCTGCGCGCTAACTGGTTCTGCACAGATTAGTTCCATGGGCTCTCATTAGACTAAAGGTACAAGCACCCATCAGATATCCTTCTTCTTCTTCTTCTTTTCTTCTTCTTTTTCTTCTTCTTCTTCTTGTCTTCTTCTTCTTCTTCTTCTTCTTCTTCTTCTTCTTCTTCTTCTTCTTCTTCTTCTTCTTCTTCTTCTTCTTCTTCTTCTTCTTCTTCTTCTTCATTTTCTTCTTCTTCTGCTTCTTCTGCTTCTTTTTCTGCTGCTTCTTCTTCTTTCTTCTTCTTCTTCTTCTTCTTCTTCTTCTTCTTCTTCTTCTTCTTCTTCTTCTTCTTCTTCTTCTTCTTCTTCTTCTTCTTCTTCTTCTTCTTCTTCTTCATCTTCTTTTTCTTCTTATGTTTATCTAAATATCAGTCAGTCCACATGTTCATCCTTTCTCCTACTCGCTCATCTGATTGTCTAACAGTGTGGGTTCTTCTTCTTCTTCTTCTTCTTCTTCTTCTTCTTCTTCTTCTTCTTCTTCTTCTTCTTCTTCTTCTTCTTCTTCTTGTGATGTTTGTCTAAATGTCAGTCAGTCCACATGTTCATCCCTTCTCCCGCCAGCCCATCTGATTGTCTTCCCGTGTGGGTTCTGGGGCCCCATTGTGTGGAAAACAAAATTACACCCACTGTCCCCACGACAAACATGTCGTAAGAGTCGATTAATTAAGAGCTTCCTTCAAAGTCGGAGTACATCTGCATGAGAGACACAGAACCAACAGTCTGCATGCAAATAAGCAAGATAAGTAAAACGGATGCAGGCGCAAAACTCAGGTCCTGGAACAAATCCACAGTCCAGAAATGGACGAACAGCCAGATATTTTCGCCGGGATTTACAGCCAGTAAACGCAAACAACAACTATATCTGATTTTCAGTCATATTGGTGTATACTATACAATCTGGCAAATCATGTCTTGACCAACCTTGATTTCGAAACTATAAGTACAATTTCCTATGTGGCGTTACAACATAATAACGACCAAGAATTTTTTTTTTCTGATGGAACGCACCCGTTCGCAATACCTTCACCTTTTAAGGCATCCTTTTTCAGCACTACTGTAATAGACAAATTGTGGTGCGTACCTGCACCTTTTATTACATATTATAGGGTGAGTACCGGCACCTTTTTTTTTCTTGGGAAAAGGTAAACTGTTAGTGATACTTCTTCTTCGCGTTCACCATCTGTAAACTCTGGCGGAAAGTTCTGGTTGTTCTTCCACTTTTGGACTGCAGTTCAGTTCCAGAACCTGAGTGTTGCGTGTGCATGCGTTTTACAGATCTGACTCTTTTGTATGCAGACTGCTGGTTCCTTGCCTCTCAGGCTGATGAACGACTTAGAAGGAAGCTCCCAATTAGTCGATTCTTAGAGGATATGCTTTTGGGTAGGCAGTGGGTTTATTCTTGTTGTTCCCTATAAAATGGCCCCGGGTCCCACACGGGGAAGTAACACTATATCTACTGTAATATTTCTAGAAGAAACTTTTTAAAGAATAACTGGCATTTGAGGTGATTCTTATGTAACGCTTAGTGATTCATTGGCGTACTTCATGAACCCCACGTACATGTTTTTGTTTTTACAGTCTATCTGCATGTGGTTTCTTGTTGCAA